GCATGTGTTACCATACCCGGCTGATTTTTTGATTTATTGTAGAGATGAGGTCTCGTCAAGTTGCCCAGGTGGGTCTCGAACCCGTGGGCTCAGGCAATCCACTCACCTGAGCCTTGCAAGTAACTGGAACTACAGGTGCATACCACCACACTTAGCTAATTTTTTTATTAATTGTAGAGAGGAGATCTTGCCGAGTTGCCCAAGTTGGTCTCGAACCCCTGGGCTATATTATCTTATTTCATCTTATTTTAAATGAAATAATAATTCTTATTCTGTCTACCTTATAGAATTGTAGGATAATAAAATTAGATTAGAATGTACACATTTTGTTACTTTGTATTATAGATAAGGCATTTTATTCAAAGTATTTATTTAGATATAAACAAATCAGAACATGAAATTAAGAAATTTATGTATTTTTGCCTCATAATGTGTTTCTTAACTTGGATTACTTAAATCAATTAATATCTGTTAAATTTTTAAAAATTGGAAGTTAGCTTTTGAAAACTTGAGTTACATATAATGTTCTGTGTGTATTTTTAAATGCTTTATGTATAGTTTTAGTAATTTTTACAATAACTCTAAAAGACAGTACGTTTTCTCTAATGGAAACTGGGGCTCTCTGTGACTAGCTCATAGTATCAGAAAATGGTAAAACCAGTATTCTAATTCGCATTTTTCTGAACTCCTAATTGTGTGCTTCATCAATATGATTGCTGTTCTTATTGTCAATTTATTAAAGTTGGTTTTTGTTTTTCATTGGGTGGCTCTTGCTCTGTTCATCTTTTTTTTTTTTTTGAGTTGGAGTCTCACTCTGTTGCCCAGACTGGAGTGCAGTGGCCGCTCCCGGCCACTGTAGCCTCGACCTGCTGGGCTCTGGCGATCCTTCTGCCTCAGCCTTCCAAGTAGCTGGAACTATAGGTGCGCACTGCCACGCCCGGCTAATTTTTGATTTATTGTAGAGATGAGGTCTCGCCAAGTTGCCCAGGCGGATCTCGAACCCGTGGGCTCAGGCAATCCGCTCACCTCAGCCTCCCAAAGGCGCGGGATTACAGGCTGAGCCACCAAGCCCAGCTGCTCTGTTCATCTTTACTTGCTGTTTATTCTACTACTTGAATAAATAGGTGAACACCTACTATGTGCTAGGCATTGTTCCAGGTGCTAGGGATTTGGCAGTTAATCAAACACAAAAATCCCTGCCCTCGTGAAGCTTAGGTTCTAGCTTACATGATACTTAAAAACAGATTACTAAAATTAAAGTATGTCAAGTGGTTATAGATGCTACAGGGAAATGTAGAAAGGGGGATGACTGTGCAGGGTGTTTTGGGGAGAAAATTTTACCTTCTTGTTCATTGGAATTAGATTTATAATCTGAAGGATGAAGAATTAGAGTGGGGGACTTCTTGTGGTAACTGACCTAAGTAGGAATTAAAAATAAGACAAAAGTAGTCCTTTTGGTCTTGAGACAGAGGCTGTGATTCTCTGGAATACTGCCAAAAATGTTCCAAGTTCTAGGGCACCTCTTCATTGTGGAGGCTAGGGAATGGGTAGTCCTTTCCAGAGGTTGTAGAGCTCATGGACATCCTCTTCCATGGAGGGCAGAGAAAAAGGAGTCTTATTGTATGATTTTTCCTGTACTACTTAGTGGTTTTTTGTTTTGTTTGACAGTTTTGAGTCAGTGTCTCACTCTGTTACCCATGCATGAGTGGTACCACATCATGGCTACCACAGCTTCAACTTGCTGGAGTCAGGTGATCCTTCTGCCTCAGCCTTCCAAGTAGCTGGAACTACAGGCATGTGCCATCATGCCCACCTCATATTTTGATTATATTTTATTATAGAGACAAGGTCTTGCCAAATTGCCAGACACTGGTCTCAAACCCCTGGTTTCAGACAGTTCTCTCATCTGGACCTCCCAAAGTGCTGGGATTATAGGCGTGAGCCACCCGGTCTGACTTCTTTGCGTTTTGGTAAACCTCATTCCTCTGAGCAATTCCATTACTTTCATTTGCTAAAACAATAAAATATCTTATAATATTTATTTTCCTATCACCATCTCAAAGAAAGTAGGTGGAGCTTTGAGCCTGTCAAATCTTCTTTTCTATAGTGTAATTATCAAAGTATATTATTTTCGAGTGCAGAGTAGTGTTATACAAAGTCATTAGTGTCTTTGAGATAAGAGCTCTAGGCCACTTTCCCAGGCCCTCTGCTCTCCTACTGTTAATCACATTTTAAAACATGAATAAACGACTTAATTGATTGATTATGAAACCTCTCTTAAAGTATAAGTTCTAAAAAAGGTAAAGACTCCTTTACCCAATACTGAGTGTTTTGGGACAAGGCTTAAATTTTTGGCATTAGAAAGGCATTATAATCTAATGGAAAGAGTACAGCCTTTGGAGTCATAGATAGCTGGGTTCAATTTTTGACTTATTACCTTGAACTAGTTACGTCATCATTCTAAGCCTTAATTTCCTCATCTGTGAAATAGGCATGTGATAAATTTAGGAGGCACTCACCATCAAATGATAAAACAACATAATCAGTACTGTAAAAAAAAAAATCAAATGTAGGCTGGGTGCAGTGGCTGAAGCCTATAATCCCAGCACTTGGGGAGGCCTAGGCAAGAGGATTGCCTGAGCCCGCGGGTTCAAGACCAACCTGGGCAACATGGTGAGATCTCACCTCTACAATAAATAAAAAAAAATTAGCTGGTTGTGGTAGCGTGCGCCTGTAGTTCTGGCTACTTGAAAGGCTGAGATGGAATGATTGCCAGAACCCAGCAGGTCGACACTGGGGTGGCCGTGCGTGTGCCACTGCACTCCAGCCTGGGCAATGGAGTGAGACTCCGACTCAAAAAAAAAAAAAAACCAATGTAAAATAATATGGGAAACAGTTCATTTGATTCTGGGGTGAGACTAGGCAAGTGAACTAAGAAGATTACTAAGAGTAGGAGGTTTAGATCATGAATGATGAGTTGGAGTTGATCAAGTACTAAAGCAAGGAAACCACTTTGGGAAGGGAATCCTATGAAGACAAAGGCCTAGAAGGTATTTAAATATGATATATAACTGTAACAAAGGTCTGAGTTAGTCCCTCTCCCAACATTTCCCATCATTTTCTTTCTTTTTTTTTAGGTGGAGTATCGCTCTGTTGCCCAGGCTCATGGCCACTGCAGCCTCGACCTGCCGGGCTCGGGCAATCCTTCCACTTCAGCCTTCCAAGTAGCTGGAACTACAGGCATGTGCCACCACGCCCAATATTTTTAAAAAATTTGTTGTAGAAACGAGGTCTTGTCAAGTTGCCCAGGCTGGTCTCGAACCTGGGGGTCAGGCAATCCTCTTGCCTCAGCCTCCCAAAGTACTGAGATTGTAGGCATGAACCACTGCGGCCGGCCTCATAGTTTTCTAAATAAGTACCTATTAGCTGGTATGATTTGCCTCTGTTTTTTACTAAACTGCAGACTTCTTTTGGGCAAGGATCTAATTTGTTTTGTTTACCATAGCTTGTCCTTTAGGCATTAGCTACTCCATGAGTATTCATTGGATGGATGAATTAAAACAACATTCTTAATGTTTCAAAGACAATTGGAAGTGTTTTTGACTACCACACTATATATTTAGAGTTGATTCTATAAAATGTACACTTGTAATATGTTGTTTGCATGGGGATTTGTTTAAATAAAAAGCAGCAGAGAGTTCAGAGTTCTAACCTTAGCTCTGTGCCATTAACTGGTTAAATGACCTTACTTCTCTTGGGTTGTAATTTCCTTAAATGTTTAACAGTAGTGATGATTTTTAAGTTTTCTTCCAACTGTAATACTCAGGGATTTCACAGAAAGACCTGCTGCCAGATATTTCTGTGTAGACCTTTGAAGGGAAAATAGTACTTGACACATGGTGTATATTGAATAAATATATAATCAGTTAGAAATCTAAAGTATAAATCAGGAATTCTCAATTGGAGAAATTAAACAGACTTTCAGAACCTTACATTTCTAAGGTATGAGATGAACACAGAACTGTAATTACTTTTTTTAATCATTTCAAACTCTGAGTATAATGTTGTATTGTTCTGTTGATGTTTTGACAGCCAAATGAAACACTGCCACTAAGTATACAGAACCAGGCTTTAAAATGGTAAATGAGCTTGAGTTTTATTCCAGGAGTTAGTAAACAATTGAATGGGTTTTCAAAAGTGACATATCTTTTATCCTTTTTGCTGGGAATTTTTGGCTTGAAACTCTTTTATTGGGTAATGTTCATATTGAGTTGAGTTCTAGGAAACTGTGATGTGGGAAGATTCATTTTTTAATGAACTTCTGATTTCTTGGTATATAAGATATTTCCCAGTTTTCAAATTTATGCTTATATTTATCTGGCTTGAATTTCTCTCTGTTGGGTATTAATGTGAAATTTTAAGTATCAATATTGCTAGGAAAGTCTTATTGTACTATCTCAATTACCAAATGCTTTCAATTTCATTTACATGCCCACCTTTAAAAATTAGAAGGTAGAAAGCAGAAGTTTAGTACTTCATTATTTTTGGAGGCTAAGACTAGAGTTGCAACATATGTCAAAGAAGTCACTGTAGGTAGAGGTAGAGAGGGTTATTCTGAAGAGAATATGTTTTATTTATTTTTGAAGTCTGAAATATCTTGACCCTGAATAGCATAAAATTCTCTTATTTTCTGGAACAACAACAATAATAAAAGAGCCTTAACTATAAGTAGTAAAAGTTTTGGAAAAATATTTTGGAAGTATGTTTTAAATTTTTTTCATATAAGTTTTGTGAGAATTAGAGCATAATTGAATATCTGGCAGACATTCTATATGAGTATCTTTATGGTTTTTGTTTTTCAGGCATTTAAAAAATATTTAATCATTCATGAGTGAGCCTCATTCTTGAGTTATGGATGACAAGGCTTCTGTTGGAAAAATCAGTGTCTCCTCAGACTCAGTATCTACTCTTAATAGCGAAGATTTTGTCTTGGTTTCCAGGCAAGGAGATGAGACACCATCTACAAATAATGGAAGTGATGATGAGAAAACAGGACTCAAGGTAAAACTCCATAACCTAAATTTGTTTTGCTTAGGTTGTGTAAGCTCATTGCAAAACCTGACCTTAACAGGGAAGGCATATGGGGAAAACTAAGAACATAGAATTAATATACTTTTTTCTTTAATATTTATAATTTTTAAATAATTAGTGACAAATGTATGTTTGACAAAGGATTTTCACTTTGGTTAGTTTTCCTAAATCTTGAAATACTCATAAGAGTCAAAACTTGGCCAGGTGCAAGTGGCTCACGCCTGTAATCCCAGCACTTTGGGAGGCCGAGGCGAGAGGATTACCTGAACCCAGGAGTTTAAGACCAGTCTGGGCAACATGGCAAGACCTCGTCTTTACAATAAAATAAAAACTTAGCCAAATGTGGTGGTGCATAGCTGTAGTCCCAGCTACTTGGGAGGATGAGGCCAAAGGATCACCTGACCCCTGCAGTTCAAAGCTGCAGTAGCTGTGATCGTGCCACTGCACTCCAGCCTGGGCAACAGAGTGAGATTCCCAACTAAAAAAAGAAAAAAAAATAGAGTCAAAACTAGTGGGTACAGTATAAACATTTGCCATTTTAGTTTTGTTTTCACTTTTGCTTTAAGTCAGAGGTGCTTGTCTAGTTTGGTCCTGGTATATGTTATGTAAGGGTACTGGCAGGTCATCAATGCTATTTATAAAAATAAGGTTTAGGATTATTGAAACAACTTTAAATACCTAGCCATAACCAGGCTCGGTGGCTCAGCCTGTAATCCCGGGAGGCTGAGGTGAGTGGATTGCCTGAGCCTGTGGGTTCGAGACCCGCCTGGGAAACTTGGTGAGACCTCATCTCTACAATAAATCAAAAAAAATTAGCCAGGCGTGGTAGCGCGCACCTGTAGTTCCAGCTACTTGGAAGGCTGAGGCGGAAGGATCACTGGAGCCCAGCAGGTCGAGGCTGCAGTGGCCGGGAGCGGCCACTGCACTCCAGTCTGGGCGTCAAAGTGAGACTCCAACTCAAAAAAATAAAATAAATATATACCTAGCCATTGACCACTTCTGTTTATCTTTTCTCAGTCAAACAACTATTACTTCTTTTCCCATACTTTGTTACTGTTCTACTCTTTATGGCTATAAATAACAACATTATTTATTAAAATTGTAATTTAAAATATAAGTAATTGAAAAGTATTTCTAGTCTTGCTTGCATCTATTCATTCAACAAGTGTTTATTATGTCACAACTATGTGCCAAGTTCTGTTCCAGGTACTGAGGATACAGTGGACAAAAACACAGGCAAAGCCTCTTGTCCTCCTAGAGCTTTTATTCTAATGTGGGAAACAGACTCTAAATATGTCAAGTAAATTTCGGTGCTGTGAAGAAAAAGTAGGGTATGTGGACAAAGAGTGAATGATGTGATTGTTCTTTGACCTTTGAAATTTTTGTTAGAATTTTGAAAACTCTCATTGTCATTCATAAATATATAGAGGAATAAATAAAAAACAGTAACCCCCCCCAAAAAAAGTAAAGAAAGAGTGAATGACAGGTACTATTTCAGAGAAGGTCTTAAGATGACATTTAAGGTGACCCGAATGATAGGAAGAAGAGAACCATGGAGAAATCTGGGAAAAGAGTTTTACAGAGGGAACAGCAAATAGACCTTAGGAGTTCAAGGCTGCAGTGAGCTATGATCATGCCACTGTACTCCAACCTAGGCTATCGAGCAAGACCTTGTCTGAAAAAGAAAAGATTTCATGTCCCTGCAGCTCCCAGTCCGAGCTGATTTCCAGGGGAGGAGCAGGACATCAACATCTCTCATTCTGCCTCCAGACGCCTATTGCTAGTCAAATGTGACTAAGAGGTGGGGGCTCCTTTTTTCTACCTAGCCCCTGCTCCTGGAACAGAGTTTTTACTTCAGGCATAGCAAGTAAAGGTGGGTGTTGCTCAATGAGAAGTATGCCATTGTACCCACTCTTAGCTCCAGAGCCTTGACTCAGAGATTTTGCCCGTAGAGAATAGCTGGCAAAGAAATAGCTCTTAATCTTTTCCTAAAGGAGTAGACTTCATTTAAAGAAGTTTAAGCCTGGCCGGGTGTGGTAGCTAATGGCCTGTAATCCCAGCACTTTGGGAGACCAAGACTAGAGATTGCCAGATTCTAGGGATTCAAGACCAGCCTGGGCAACGTCTCTAAGATAAATTTAAAAAAAAAAATTAGCTGAATATGGTGGTGTACAACTGTAGTTTCAGCTATTTGGAAAACTAAGGCGGAAAGATCACCTGAGCCCAGTAGGTCAAGGCTGTGGCAGCTGTGATCCTGTGACTGCACTCTAGTCTGAGCGACAGAGAGAGACTCTGATTCAAAATTTAAAACAAAGAAATTTAAGCCTAAGGTTACTCTAAAAAACAGTAGAAGTTGTTATGAAATATAATTGGGAAAATATTGATAAATTGATCGAATATTTAGGCTTAACTGTAGATCTGCTAATTTACCTGAGAAAAGCAGGGAAAGACACACCTGGGAGGAGACCACCAGGCATCAAAACAAATTCTCAACCATTGATCTCTGGAACTTTCCCTTCAGAGATACCTAAATTTGATTGATTTAGTCTGTGGGGCAGTTTATACTCCAGTACATTGAAATCATTAGAGCAATCAGCCAGCAATTACTGGAGCTTAACAACTAGGTGTGGTCAGACAGAGAGAGAACTGTCAAAAGCACTCGCATCCCAAGGTGACTCTGAGCAATCCCAAGTCTCAGCCCCCTGAGGAACAACCTCAGTGTCTTAACATTATAGGGGCTGGAGAATAGAACCTACTAAAATTAAACAAGCCAGTTAATTAACAAGCATAAACAACAAGTTTTAAAATGGGGAGATTAATAGCCAGATTTGGTACAACAAATCTAAAATGTCTAGTTTCTAGCCAAAATTTGTGATGAATGCAGAGAAACAAAATAAGACCCATAAACCCCTCAAAAAAAGCAGGCAATGAATATTGCCTGTGAAAGTGACCAGTTGGATTTAACACACAAAGTCTCTGAAGTAGCCATTATGATTATGTTCAACAAACTAAAGGAAATCATGCATAAGGAAATAAAGGAAGATGTGATGACATTGTCACATCAAATAAATAATATTAATAAAGAAATAGACATTTTTAAAAAACAGAACCAAGCCAAGTGTGGTGGCTCATGCCTGTAATCCCGTCACTTTGGGAGGCGGAGGTGAGAGGATTGCCTGAACCCAGAGGTTTGAGAGCAGCTTGGGAAACTTGGCAGGATCTCATCTCTACAGTAAATCAAAAATTAGCCAGGTGTGGTGGCACATGACTGTGGTTCCAGCTACTTGGAAGGCTTAGGTGGAAGGATTGCTTGAGCCCAGCAGGTTGAGAGTCAGTGGCCATGAGCATGCCACTATATTCCAGCCTGAGCGTCAGAGTGAGACCCCTACTCAACAAACAAACAAAAGAGCCACAAGGAAATTCTGGAATTGAAAAGCAAACAACTGAAATGAAAAATTCAATAGCAGGGCAAAACAGTACATTTCAGCTGGCGAAAGAAAAAATTAATGGACCTGATAGTAGATTAGTAGAAATTAGATTCAATGGACATGGTGGCGTATACCTATAGTCCCAGCTACTCACGAGACCGAGGCAGAAGAATCAATCACCTGATCCCAGGAAGTTGGGGCTTCATTGAGCCGTGATCATGCCACCATGTCCTAGCCTGGACAATAGAGTGAGACTCCAACTCAAAAGAAGAAAAAAAAAAAGATTAATGAGAATTACCCAAAAAGCATAAAAAATAAAATAATAAAGAAAAATAAACAGAGCCTCAGAGAAATATGGGACTATTCAGTGTGCCAACATGCTCAAAAGGAGAAGAGAGAAGTATCAAAAGGAGAAGAGTATCAAAAGGAGAAGAGAGAAGTTACCAGGAAAATATTTCAATTTATTGAAAAAGAAAAATCTGCACATCTGGGAAATTCAGTGAACTCCCAAGTGCAATAAATGCATAGAGATCCACAAAGAGGCATATTATGGTAAAAATGCTAAAAACCAAAGTTCCGCCTGGGCAGGCGAGACCTCATCTTTACAATAAATCAAAAAAATTAGCTGGGTGTGGTAGCACGCACCTTTAGTTCCAGCTACTTGGAAGGCTGAGGCGGAAGGATCGCTGGAGCCCAGCAGGTCGAGGCTGCGGTGGCCGGGAGCGGCCACTTCACTCCAATCTGGGTGATAGTGAGACTCCAACTCAAAAGACTCCAACTCAAAAAAAAAAATCTTGAGAGCAGGAAGAGATAAATGACTCATCACTTACAAAGGAATCCTTATAAGATTTATGGCTAACTTCTCAGCAGAAACAATGGAAGCAAGAAGCCAATGAGATAACATATTCAAAGTACACAAACAAACAAAAATTTGGCAGGCCAAGATGGGAGGATTGTTTGAGTCCAGGAGTACAAGACCAACTTGGACAACAAAACAAGACTCTGCCTCTACAAAAAATAGAAAAACTAGCTAGGTATGGTGGCACACACCTGTAGTCCCAGCTTCACAAGAGGATTGCTTGAGCCCAGGAGTTTGAGACTGTGGTGAACCGAGATCTTGCCACTGCACTGTAGCCGGGGCAACAGAGTGAAATCCTGTCTCAAAAATAAACAAAAAACCCACAGAACTGTCAACCAACAATTCTGTATCCAGCAAAACTGTTATTTAAAACTGAAAGTTTTTGAAATAAGAACATTCTGAATTAAACAAAAACAGAGATAATTTGTTGCTAGTAGACTTGGCCCTACAAGAAACACTAAAGGAAGTTATTCAGGCTGAAAGCAAGGGACTCCAAATGATAATTTTAATCCACATGAAAAATCAAAGAACATTGATAAAGGTAATTATAGAATAATAAAAACCACTACAAATGCGTATTTTCTCCTTTTCTTTTGTATTATATGTTATATATAGAGTATATTGTTTAACCTGTGACATGCAGAAGTGTAATATGTTTTCCAATAACAGGAAAAGGGAGATAG